TATTAAACAACTCATACAGTCATTCCACAAGACCACGTAAGAAATAAGTATCTAAAATATTGCGAATAGTAATCTGAAATCATACACCTATTATCTACTAATACTGAATGATTTGGAAATGACTAAAGGGTTCTCTACTAAACTAATGGTATGCTACCTATCAGCTTCAAAGACTAGTGAGGAAATCACTTAAGTGACAAGTAACTTGGTTACCAACTGAAATATTCTTGTTTTATATGTATGCAGGATTGGACTCTGAACAATAACCTTAGACTTCTCCCTTGATGATTGCTTGGTATCTCGGAGACAGAAAAGAAACGTCGAAAACGATAAGAGTTTGTTGTCCAGTAGAATATGTACAAAAGTTAATGGTTTATATACATTTCTTGATGGCACTGGAAAGTTCTACACTTTTCTAGAGAGCCCTTTAACCAATCTGAGTCTCACACGTATAATCACATGGCTTTTCTCGATAGGCTGTGGTTAGTTATAAAGGCTTTTCAGGGATTTCCAGGCTTCTCCGAGGAATCTAAAGGATATTGTCACACTCCACACCCTAACACCTCCCACTTAAAGTTTCTTTATGGGTTTCCTGGACCAAGTAATTCGACGCTGTGGTAGACCAACAGAATTTCAGCAATTCACCTTGTGGTTTGAAAATCGTGAATCGTTTTATGATTGCTGTTGATCGTCCAGTAACAGTAAACTGAGGGGCGTATGATTTCTATTGTGGTTATGGAGTCTTGATCTTAACTGATTTACATATCTGTTCCAGATTTCTCAACCAACTTGCATTTTGTAAAGTACACCCATTTTTACCCCGAGAGTTTCTGACCATAACATTGTTACCAGTTTGGAACTTTCCGCACTGTTGTGGCCACTAGCTCCTTAGGACTTAGTTGTAGGCAGCAAGAATGCAAAAGCAGTTCTTATTCGAATACTAAACCAACATAACAAGTGGGTTTTTTTAATCTATATATACTATGGACACAAGACTAACCTCACCTGGTTAACCAGTTCACTAGTTACTTTGCGGTCATAAGCCCGGATAAAGAGGGAAGCTTGGACATGGGGCTAACAACCCTACCACGTAAAACCAACCCATCTGCACAATCAAAATATAAAACATAAAAACAAACTTATTCCTCACTGGAATCGGAAAGGCGAAAGGACGCAGGTTAGTGAAAGCCTTCGAGAAGCTAGTCGCCTGATTTGTCTTCTCTCGACGAAAGTGAAAGTAAGAATGGGGACATGGAATATCAGCACCATGTGTGAATCTAGCAAGGCTGCCCAGATTGCCAAAAAGATGAGAAGGTATGGGATGGAAGTGCTAGGAATCTGCGAAAGCAGATGGAATGAAAGTGGACTCTCTCAACTGTCAAATGCAGAGTCAATAATCTACTCCAATATTGTCACCCAGACGACAACCACGAGCCCACTGAAGAAGTGACTATCTTGATGTCCCCAACAGCATGAAAGTCTCTCATGCAGTGGGAACCAATCTCCTCCAGGATCAGGATCATAACAGCAAGATTCAAATCAAAAGGAAGGAAAGTTACAATCATATAATGCCAAATAATGCAGAACAAGAGAAGAAGGAGGAATTCTACAAACAACTACAATCAGTATTGGACAAGACCCCACCCCAGTTGGCGACATCAAAACTTATTCTAATGGGTCAGGTGACATGAGTGGCAAACTGGGAGCGGACAACACAGGAAGAGAACTAACCATGGGTCGAGAAGCGCTTGGTGAAATGAATGAGAACGGAGAACTGTTTGCAGACTTCTGCGTATTTAATGGCTTGGTGATTGGAGGCAGTGTGTACAAACGAATACAAGGATATTCACAAGGGGACATGGATTTGATTTCACCAGAAACCAGGACACACTCCACTAAAAATCAGATCGACTTCATCTCAATGTGAAGAAAGTGGAGACGCAGCCAGCCTACTAGACACAAGATCAGATCAAGAAGGGGAGCAGATGTACGTAGATTCACACCACTCACTGTCTAGTGCAAGGAACCTGCCTTTAAAATCAAGAAGAAAGTGTTCACAGAAGTTGGTGATAGACGACAGTTCAAGTTGAACACCCAGAACAGAAACTGAACTGAAGGATGAAACTACAAAGGACATCTTCAAGTCAAGCAACAGAACAAAATGAGAGATATTGAGCAACATCCCTAAAGGATCGGGCATGGAAGAACACTGGAACTCTTTGAAAACTCTGAAACAGTAGTGTTGAAGCAGCAGCTGCCAAATTACTTCTCGGTCGATGCTGTCGAAGACCTTTTCAAAGTCGATAAAGTTGAGGTAGAGAGTAGGGGTAGGGTTGTTAGCCCCATGCCCAACCTTCCATCTTGATCCGGGCTCAGGACCGGCTAGTAACTAGTTAACTTGGCGAGGTTGGTTGACTGGTTAGTGATTCCCAAATACTGACACTTATTTTCTTATACAGTATGTATTTTGTGTTCACATTATTGACACTCAGCAGTATCACCGATGTCACACATACTGACCTTATGATTTGTGGGATTTTGATGCTGAATATTTCCTACCATGCATCATTTTTACCCGATCGTTTACTTCCCATCCACCTGATTTCATATATTTCGATTAGTTACATAGAATGTAAATCAGTTTTATTAAAAATATCCAAGTTACATTCATTTAGATCTTAGTTAAGTATTTCGCTGATAATCAATACGTTTGTCACAAAAGTTAGTTTTATTACCGAACAACAGTCATGTGACAATACTACATGACAAATAAATCTCGCTTAATCAACCAATTACTCATAAGTAGCTAAAATAAAAAAGACAAAACTGAGAACCAAACTTGTAGACCATACTTATCTCACACTTGAACGTCAGTGATTTGACTCATGTTTAACTAAGACACAAAACCAAATGGATTAGGATTATTTGACACTTTTCATAGCAAACGAAAGCATAGACAGTCGATATTAGTCAACACTGTGTTGATCCATTTAAATAATTAGACCTTTCCTCTCAAAACTGTTTTCGCTGGAACTTATTTTCTATCAGATTTTTTTTCAAGTAGCTATAAAATTTTAAGGATGAATGAAATGGTAGTGATTTTAATAGGGAATGCAGTGTGTTGGTAAATTGAACAACTTTATAGCGGTTTTCATTCAGAATTGACAGTCACTTTGTCGGAATCCAGTAACTCAATTGTTCTAACAGAATGGTCACATACTCACTATAAGACCTGACAGTTTCTTGTTGACACCATATGAGGTTTTAGTTGAAAACTGTTGAGAAGTTTTAAACTAAGACAAAATAAATACTGGATAAAACGCAGGTTTTCATTGGTGATTCACTGGCAGATGTTGATTTGTGATGAACACCCATTTGAAATAATGGATTCGATAGCATGTAATACAGATGTGTCAAATGTAGAAGATAAAATATTAGTTGGTGTATTCCTATCATTGAAACAGTACCTCAAGAATTTGTTAATTTCTTAATAAGATATCCCAAAAATGGGCTAAATTTAGTTGAATACACAGTTTTAGAATTTGAAAATGCATGGACCATATAGCGGAATGAAGGTAACGTTTTCCAATTCAGCTGAGAATGATGCTTTCCTAGTGAAATAAAATAAATTACTGGACGATTTTAAACTAGGTATCACTAGAGATCTGTAATACATTGATTTTGAACTCAGATATAAGTAAGATCATTATTACGTAATTGAGTTTTTCTCTAAATTATGCTTCAGTTTAACAGTTATGTCATGATAGACTTGCTCTGTTAATGTGCCTAATAGAACAATAAAGTCAGCTTGATTTATCTTTCATAGGAAAGTATGTCCATTCATGAAAATGGAGTGACTATCAGTAGTCGAAAATCTCCATCATTCGTTTTTAAGCCAACCTAGTATTGAAATTGCAACTGAAAATTCTAGTTGATAAGTCTGTAATAACATGAGGTAATAGTTAGTGAGAATCCAAGTTGGTAGCTATAACAACAGAGATTGTTTCATCAGGACCAAATAAGACAACCACCTTGATGGTACTAGTGTCCACCACTTCGATTGAGACGTTGTAAACAACAGTCACCAATTTCGCCTGTTAGTGGGTAAGTTCATTATAAAGGCATCTGGACTGATTCAACCCATTGTCGAATTATAGTGATTAACTTAGAGTAGAAAAACTAAGCGTGATTAAACAATACACCTTTTCTCGTTAAAACTATTATTTTCGTGTACTGTATGACAGTAGTAATAGCAACAATGGTACCTATCCGTTTTTATGTAATCTAGAACACTGTCAATAAAGTGATGAGAGGCAGTAATAGAACGAAAATGTCTGAAAGTGACATCAAAATAACTTTTACGAGGTCCTGACTATCATTCAAATTCATTGGCGTGTCACTCACTGCCTCTATGATTGATTTATTTGACCTACTGATGAAAAGTTATTAGAAATGCATTTCCGATTTTCATTACGGCTCTCGTCTGAAACCCTACATGCACTACTTAAATTCACATTATCCAGTTAGGTGCAGGTGTCAGATCAAAATGCGATTCTGGACATTTTTCTCTGCAGAAAATTTCCCGAATGGTTCACAGATCGCAAAATCAAACATCAGATCTGGATAGATCTGAAATTTTACTTTAAAACGATACCCATTTTGATGATCTTACGACAATTTTTCGTATGGATACGTTTTTGGGACCGAATGTATCAATGAGGTTACTATTAGCATCAATCACGTTTGTGAACATTTGTCTTGATGAAAAATCCGTTGGAAACCTTCAATATACATAATGATGTAAAGTATAAACTACATTGCTTCTGAATATGGAAGATATTCTTCTGTAAACTGGGCACAGTCAGTTCATGAAAAATCCAAACAAATGTACACACCGTCCCCTCCAAAAAGCTCACATAGACTTAGTGACATACGCGCACATACGGACGCACGACACACATACACATGCGCACACGCACGTGCATACGCGCAGCTCTCACACAGACGCGGATTAGGGATCGACTGTTCGTTCGCTCACTGGATTATTAAACTTCACATTTGAAAATCCTCAGAATTCCAGGGAATTGTCGAATTCTGCGAGGAATACTTGTAAATAGCCGCCGTTCGCACGACAGACGGAATCCCAATGGCATCCAATAATATGTACAGAGTCGGGGGTAAGTACAATAGATATCCATTCTACAAGTTCAAGATGGCCGACTATTTCGAAGTATTTACATATTTATTCAGCAGGTCGACTGAGTTTACAGTTCTTGAGGAACGATTCAGAACGCACACGGTTGTGTCGTTGTACACAAATCTATACATTCAAATCGACGAATCAGGTTGTATGGCAGTTAGCTTTTACCCCTACATAATAGCTCTATATGAGCCTCCGACAAAATTCCTTCGTAAAACTGAAATGATGCAACCACTCATTCAGAAACTCCAATCTTCACATTACGATGACTATTTCTCAGGAAACCGCCGTCAGGATTTGCGAGTGGAAAGCGCCTGTAAGCTGTTCGCATGGAAAAACTTTAGGAGGCTCATATAGACTGGTGGAACGGAATATACTAAGGTATAGTACAAAAGCCGTTGCCGATTCGCACAGTTGGTGAACGTAGTTCAGATAAATCCTCTTTCTCAATCAAATCTCAGAGTTAAACGAACTCATATTGCCTAGATTAAGTAACATCTCTTGATTGTACTACGTATTGCATACAGACTTCGGAAGCTGAATAAACCACTCTTACCATGTTAAAATAGTTCTGTGAGTTTTCAGCACTCAAGTTTCTGTCTGTGTATATAGTTTTTAAGCCCATATTGGCTCTCAAAAGTGAAAGACTCCTTTTTTCTGTATATTCTTTAGACTGATTTTGAATGCCTAAAATTTTGGAATTCGGATAAAAGTTTCGTCCGTGTTATGCACAAATATTACACAAAGCTAATAGAATTTTTTATGTACCTCTGCTCAGTTTAATAGTTTAAACTCGGTATCGCACAAATGCAGGTACTGGTGTTGAAATACTTCGGGAACTCTCGTACTTCCATCTTCAATGGAAAGTATAATAGGCTGTTAGATTGCATTAATCCTCCCAGTAATTAGCTCTTTAGAGATCCAGTATGATCATCAAAATAACTGCTACCACCTGTTCCGGTAACAAGTTTCAGTTGGCTACGACTCTATTGGGATAACGGATACTCCAAGTAAAGATTATTCGACTTACGTTTTTCCACCTTATTTGATACCCTAGAATTTAATCAGTCCTAGAAGTGTAAATTCAGATAAATCACTACTCGTCATCATTCAAGATGTGAGAGGCTAAAATTAGATCACTTTATCCCCCTAATGTAAGCGTTAAACGTGTAGCCTTACTAACCGCGATTTAAAGAGGGTGAGCAAAACGTGTTGCTAGTCTAGTGGCTACCTTTTGGCTCCATCCTAACAAACCAGCTTCATTTTTAACGCATGAGCTAGCCTCCTGAATACAGTATTCTAAATGAAGCCTTGAATAAGTGAAGTATGGGATCCTAAACATAACTTCATCGAAGTATTTGAAAATTATACGAAGCGACCAAAGTATTCGAAACACTTTAACTGCTGAAGCATTGCAATTCTCAGTCGTGACTCCTAACTTTCGAAAAATTGAGGAATTCGTCCACTCATAGGGTATCCACTACAGTAGTCGCTCCCACTGCGGATTACCGGATTTTTTACTCTTGTCAATTTTCAGGCTCCATTATCTAGCTCATTCCACCAGTTCAGACCTATCATAATCCTCCTCATCATCAATGACTCTTCTTATCTTGAAGCCATGAGATTGACTCTAGCATCTTTGGTATTTCATTAACGGTAGGAAGGAGGATGTGTTCCAAGGATGGTTCCTTACGGAACAGTATTGGTAACAAGTCACCTAAACAATATTCCATCTACTCTTACTTTACATTCGTATAAATATCCCCTAATCTGGACTAAGACCCATTATGGATATTGAATTTATGGAACCTTGTCAATCCTGTATGTGATACTATCAAAAGCTTAACTAAAGTCAATAAACACCGAATTCACAGTGGATTTATTGCACCTAGTCTTTAATCATTCCTCCCTCGCCAGGAATATGTTTCTAAACAGGAGCACCTAGCTCAGTCAGTCAGACAGAGACAAAACTAGCGTAGAACATTGCACACAAGTGCATAGGTTCATATTGCCACACTTCACAGAGGCACACAAGGAACAAATAGACAGAAAAAGATTGATATTAAAGTAGAAAAACCTGTATGGGAAGAGAAACAATTTTACGACAAAGGTCAGTGAAAATGTTCAAGCCTTAGAAGACTTCAAAAAAGGAATACATCTGCGCCATCGTGACCAGTTTTCAACTATGTCACCAAGCCTCTCCAACCATTGATTCTTACCATCTCGTCGACTGCAGCCAGGGACTATACACCAAGAGTCGGAGACTTGTTTGACTAGTGCCACGTCTTGCTCTGGCCACCCTGAGACTTGTAACCCGATCCAATTTCTACTAGCAATGCACGTCAATGCTGGCTGTGGTTCGGCGTGCACACCGCATATCCAAGTGATAAAGGTTCACAACCTCGTCAACCACCCCTTTCTCGCCTAGTACTCTTCACGTAACCTTGACAGTGATCATGTAACTCTACGAAATGCGAGTAGTGCTACGAAGATACCTCTGGTCAAAAGCTTATAATCTCTTTATATCTTCTATTTTCAACAGCTATCACAGCTATATAAAAGTACAGAATGGACTGCAGTGCAGTATACTCCTTTAATAGGTAGTCGGATATCTCACCAGTTGGGCCACAGATGCCGTAAGGTTACGTATGTCAAACGGGCCTTTCGTATCCAAGATACGATTTCTCCAGGAACCAGGCTGTTTGGGCTAATACGGCCCTCAATTAAGTGCGCTGATCCACGTATTCTACTTCTCTCCCTAACCTTAAGCTAGTAGTTGAAGACTAGTTCTATAGCATCATCTTACACTTGGCAGGTGAGAAACGCACGCCAAACAGACACATATTTCCGTTCAAGGCGCTCAATACCCTGGGTCCTGTCACCATCTTCGCCTAACAGAATAATTTTGCCTGCATACTCCAAGTAAACCAGATGCTTACCATGAAGTAGGTCAATCCTCGTGAAGTCAGAGGTACCTAAGGTTGTGTACATTAGTACATTTATAACGAAATTAAATAAGGACGATGACAGTGAACACCCCTGGTAGACGCCATTAGTTACCGTCGATTTTGATGACTACTCTCCATAAGCCTTCACAGAGCTGTGTGAGTTTGAATAGAGACTTGATTAGCGGTACATATTGTCTTGGTACTCCCTTTGCAGTCAGACACTAACACAACACCTCACGGTTGACGGAGTCGAAGCCACCTTCAGGTCAAGAAATATGGTAGGTGTCGACCACTGGCCGGTAAGTATGCTTGTGTTCCATAACCTGACAACGGATTAAAATATAATCGGTTCACCCTCATCCAGACCTGAATGCTGCCTAGCTTCCGCAAGCTTCAGTCGGGCGTCAGATGAATATGGAACCTAGGATCTTGGATCGGATGTTAGTCAAACTGATTCCCTTATGATTGTCAGAAGAAGACTTCTTTCTCGTTATAAACTCCAATGATCAGTGAAGTGAACCAGTCTGACGATACTACTTCTAATTGCCATACGCTACTCAGTATCTCCGTTACTCTATTCAGTAAGTTCCTACCTCTTTCTTTGGAAACTTCAGGTGGCAAACCGCCAGATCCTGCTGTTGTGCATCATTTCAGGTGCAAAACTCCTTTCTTAACTTCGAAGGGAATTGAAGGACCGACATCTACGTCCAGCTCGGGCTGGCTGGATGCTGGAAAACTGAGTTGGACACTTCGAACTGGGATTCAAAATGTTCTTCCCAACGTCCTGACCTGTCGTGAAAGGTCATCATGGTCTCATTTTCTCGGTGATGGTCTCACTGACCATTCTTCTTCTTGCCAACATTCTCACAGCTTAAATCATTAATATTTATCCGATACTGTAGCCTTCTCCATCACTTTCGTTTTCGCTACCCACTACTGCTCGCCAGCATAGCAAAGATTCTTAGTCGTTTCACGTTCCAGATTCATTCGCCCCTTATTGTGGTAAGAGCCAGTTGGGTTAAGTCCACTAGCACTAATTAGTTCAGATGACGTTGCGGAAATCCACTGGTTTTTGCTACCTTCAAGATGTAAGTTACTAACTCTATCGCTATTTTTATAGCGGATTGAATATAAGGCAAGTTTCCTCAGGATGAACGTTGCTGTCATGTTCAAATGACTGCTTAGTTATCTCTTATCTAGGTATGTATTTGAAGTTCTCATCTTCCAACCGAGCACATAGGCTTATTGAGTACGTTTTTTCTACGACCAGTAAGTAAGGAAGAGACAAATTTTCTCGTACTAACGTTTAATAGGAAGAAGTGCAGCAATCTTCCATTGATCTGTGTCCATCGCCGGTTCGATGTTAGTGAACGCCACATAAAAGTCTCTCCTTATGCTTTAAGTTAATGCTGGTCAGAATCCAGTGATTGTCGAAACAAAATTGCCAAAGGCATTCACCGTTGTCGGTTTGTTGGCATGGGATCCCGTAGATACCTCCAAGATACTTTTCGACTGACTCAGTTTTCTCACTTGAATGAGTGTTGAAGTCACCTGCTATCATTACTACATCTGAACGTTTTGCTTTCTGCAGCAAAATTAACAGCTTTTGATAGGATTCTTCCTTTGCGTCATCCAAACAATAGTCGGTGGGCACGTGGATTGAGATTATGAATAGACATCGACAAGTCTCACGACCTCTCCTAGTTCTTACAGATCCATTCATTAGGACAGTATAAAGACGGCTGTTGACTGTAATCCAGTCAAGAAGTCCACTTTCTGCTCGAGAACTTAATACTATACCTACACCAGCGAGACCTTGAGAGCTAGCCACTGAATCTCTGGAACCTCATGAAGTGGATTTCGAAGATTCACCACATTGGTCAGGTGGGGTCAATTTATTGACCATAGTCGGACCCTATATAAGTATTCTAGAAACACAGCATGCTTCCAAGGCTCGAGATTCCAGGGTCTTGGCAGGCGATGCTTGTTGTCTGATTTGGCATAGAGTTCGGATGTTGAAAGCTCCAAT